AGAGAGAGAGAGAGAGAGAGAGAGAGAGAGAGAGAGAAAGAGAGAGGGAGAGAGAACCCGAGGTGTAAAAAAAAAGAGCGTTCATGCGCGATGACCAAAATCCAGGTTCATACACACATGAATGGACGTGTGTCTGGGGAGGGGGGTCGGAGGAAGTAGAAGGAAGTGAAAGGGCGGAGGGACTGGGAGAAAGAGGTGCAAGGACTAGGAGGAGAAAAGAATAGGGTTAATGAGAGTGGAAGGTGAGAGGGATACAAACAATGCAGCAGCAGATTGGAGGAGATACTCCAAAGAAAAAAAGAGTATGGTTACATCATGCAGGAGATGGATTTCCGATTCTGTCTGTCAGGGCCAATCCCGGCTGAGAGGGACGCAACACACCACCGGAAAGACCAAGATACTCGACAAAAATTCTCCCCACTTGGGAATCGAACTCGGGTCTTCTGCATCTCCCACCCGCTACACCATAGATGCCAGTGTTAAAGGTTTAGCAAGTGTTTTACGGCACTTGCAACACAATAAGGTTAAATAAGTGCCGAAGATTAGAGGTGTTACAAGAGAGTAACAAACACAAACATGAAAGAGGAGAGACAAAGACGGTAGATGTTTGACAGGAAAGAAGAAGCAAGCCACACAAGAGCACCCGCCAACCACCTACAAACGCTAGTGTGTGACCCCGTCATGTGTAACAAAACAAAGTAACATACTCGTGCATTACGTGACCGCATTAGGCTGGTGTGTGACTTAACAAGGTAACATAACACACCACCACGCGAGGGTGCGTAACAAAGGCAGGTAACATACATGCATGTGTACATATACCACATAATGGTGTGTAAGAAAACAAGAAAGCATACTACACACATGTAGATACCACATACCACGTGACCATATAACAGTGTGTAAGAAAAACAAGATAACATACAGGTTCATACCACAGCATCGCCTCATGGTGTGTAAGAAAAGAGGAATATAATCTACACACATGATGTAACAGTAACATACCAAGTGACAACAGAATGGTGTGTTGTAAGAAAAACAAGATAGCATACACACATACGCACGCACATGCACACACACACGCGCGCGCGCACACACACACACACACACACACACGGCCTTATGGTCAGTTAAAACAACAACAACAACAACAACAACAAAAACAACAACAACAATATATCATAATATAATGTAGTAGAGGACAAACAGCCGAGTCACAATAGCCCACAAGTTTATCACGTTGACTTCACGAAAGCGGACTGACGGACAGATCCAACAATAAGAGAATAAGAACAAGAATTATAATATGTTGTCACTATGTGCGCGCTCAGTCAGTGATTCTTAGCAATAAGAGTTGTTGACTGTATTTTTCAGGGTGGGGGGGGGTGCGGGCGGGAGGGGCAGGGGTGTTGGTGGAGGGGGCGGGGTAGGAGGACGGGCGGGGAGAGGGAACCGGGAAGGGGGAGGGGGGGGGGGTTGAACAGAATGTAGTAGTATCCTTCATCCATCTCCACACGGCTCTGAATCTGAACAGAGAGTGAGAAAGTCAGACAGTCTCTGCGTCTGCAGTATAATCCAGGTTTTTGCCGCAGTTGCTACTCCTGCACTGCCTGTCTCTGTACTAGTTCTTTGTCCAGTTAGCCACGGTTGCTATCCCTGCACCGTCTGTTTCTGTACTTGTTCTGTGTCCTGTCAGCCACAGTTGCTATCCCTGCACTGTCTGTTTCTGTAGGCCTATTCGTTCTGTGTCCAGTTTTTGCCGCAGTAGCTATCCCCAGAGCTGTCATTGCACCATCTGTCTATGTTTTAGTTCTGTGTAATGAGCATAAACCGAAGCACTTCTTGAGGGCAATTGGGGGGGCGGGGTTTGGAAAGGGGGGGGGGGGAACATGGCTCTCCAACACCGATGTGGTGCAGAAGTCATACAGGAATTGTGAAAAGGCTGCGGCTAGCCAACCGGAAAAAGGGCACGGGTGGAGGTGGAATAGGTGGGTGAGTGGGGCGGGCAGGAGCGGGTAGGTGAGTGGATGTGGCTAGGTGGGGCAGGGAGAGAGGGGTGAGAGGGGTGGGGCAGGGAGAGAGGGGTGAGAGGGGTGGGGCAGGGGTGAGGGGAATGGGCCAAGGGTGAGAAGGTTGGGCTGGGTTCAGTCGCCGGTCAGTGAGATGTCCACAGGACTGAACGCCCGCCCTTCATCAAGAGTCCAGGGAGTCCTTGTGCTGGGAGCTGGTGCTGGAGCTGGACTGTCGCGGTGAGTGCGTGCTGACGCTGCCGCTGCTCACACTGCCGCTGCTGCTGCTGCTGCTGCCCATGAAAGTGGGCACGGGGCGAGACAGCGGGGGAGGAATCGCGGAGGAGGGGGAGGAGGAAGAGGGGGAGGAGGCGACTTCGTGTTTTTGGTGATGAAAGTGGTGCTGGTGAGGAGCGGGATGTTGCCGCGCGGCGACGCCGCCGCTCAGGAAATGTCCGCGAGGGTGGGGGCTGGGCTCTCGCGGTGGCCGCTTCTCCAGACCTCCTGCCGTGTCCCCGCCGCTGCTCTCCACGGACAGCCAGGAGGAGGCGGCGGGGGGCGGCGGGACACCGAGCAACGTGGCGGGGAAATCCTCCGTCTCCGCGGAGTCGCGACTGCTGGTCGACAGCTTTGGTCTCACGCCTCCTCCACTTTCTTCAGCGGAGGTCAGAGACTGCAGCGACGATTCCACGCTCGCCGGGTTCGCCCGGAGCAGGTAGTGACCTTGACCTAGCTCCAGGTCAAGGCTGTCGATGCTGGAGAGCGAGGAGCAGGTTCTGCCGCCTGACGGGTCCTGAGACTCGGAGGTCTCCGTGCTGGACACGGAACATTTCCGCAGGTCGCCGCTTGACGCCGCGTCGTCAGGCACGGAGAGGTAGCGGCCTCGCTTGGGCGTGCGCTTGGCGTGCGTCCGCATGTGTCGCGTGATCATGTCGCGGCGGCAGGCGGCGTAGGGGCACTGTGGGCAGCGGTAAGGTTTCTCGCCCGTGTGTGTCCGCTTGTGCGTGTTGAGGTGGTCGGAGCGGCTGAACACCTGGCCGCAGTCCATGCACTCGTAGGGTTTGAGTCCCGTGTGCAGCCGCATGTGCCGCGTAAGCATGTCGGAACGGGAGAAGGATCGGTCGCAGACTTTGCAGTAATGGATCTTGTTGTTGTCGGCCGAGCGGACCGTTTCCGTGGGCAGGTGTTTAGCCATGTGCTTGGCCAGATTGTCGTTAGAGGGGAACACCTGGCCGCACACCGGGCACTGGTAGGCCACGTCCGAGTCGGAGAAAGATCGCTTGGAGAAGTTCTCCCACTTGACGTGAGCCACGGCCTTAGAGCGTAGCGAGAACTGGATGGGGGAGGTGGGGTAGAGGGCGCGGGGCGACACCGCCAGGCGCGTCACCTCCGACATGGGCGTGGTGAGCAGCGGTGAAGCGGAGTGCGAGGGCGCGATGGAGGGGAATGTGAAGAACCGCGGGGACATGGGAGAGGGCGAGACGATGTCCGAGTCCGAGTGGGCGCCCTCGTACGGGCTGGGCATGTTGAAGTTGAAGATCCGGCCGCCCTCGGGGACAGAGCAGAGCGGGGACTGAGACTGAGGGGAGAGGAGGGCGTGCGGGGAGTAGTTGAGCCGGTGCGAGGAGCGGAACAGCGGCGAGTAGTGAGACTTGGGCCCCGGTGACCCTGTGGGCGTGTCCGACTCGGGTAACGAACCCGTGCGGTATAGACCGGGGGGTAAGGGTGGGCCCGGCGTGCCCCGAGACAGGTCCAATGGCTGTTGTTGCTGGCGCGAAGTTTTGCCGCTACGCGAAGCGGCGGTTCTGACCGGCTCCATGAAGACGTCGCCCTCGTCAGCGCTCAGCTCGTGCCAGTCGCCGCGGTAACTTTCGTCGGCGAGGGAGCGGCGCGGGGACTTGGGTAGCGAGCTCTCCTCACCGCCCTCCTCGTCCTCCACTTTCTCCAGCTTGAGCACAGGCTTCACGTCCGACTCGGAGGAGGACGAATGGAGACTCAGCGCCCCGCCACCACCGCCCCCGGCATCCGCGTCCTCCCCGCGGCCCGGCTCCTCTTTCAGACTGGACACATACCGCTCGTGAAGACGCCGCTTGAATTTTGGCGGCTGGAGCTTGTCCTCGTCGCCACCGCGGTCGAAATCTCCGCCGTAGAGAAACGCGTCGCCGTCGTCGTCCACGGACATGCCTTGTTGCCGCAGCAGACTCTTCCTGCCTGACGGAGACGGCGACGCTCGCGCGCCCAGCGGTGAGGGTGACGGCGACGAGCGGTGCGCGGCGGAGGGTGAGGCGCGGCGACTGCTGGGCGACTGTACCCCGCCGGCGTCCACGACGGGGAAGGGACTCTGCTCGCGACTGCTACTGCTGTCCTCCACGGCGCTGGAGCCGGTCTCCGAGTCGAGTAGCGCGTCGTCCACGTCCGTGTCTCCGCTTAGGAAGCGTTGCCGCGCTAGCTGGGACGTCCCGGGACCCGCCGACGGCGCCGCTGGGCGGAGCGGTGCCATGTCGCCGGCGGTGGATGAGTCACCGCTACTCCCGGAGGACACGTGTCGCCAGCGGTGAGGGTCGGACTTGATGCTGGGCGGGATCCCAGAGGCCACCACGGGCACCACTCCCGTCGGCTCGGACTTGAACCCGGGCACCGAAACACAGAGTCCAGCACTCTCCAGAGTGGGCCCCCCGCCACCGGACTTGCCGCCAGCGGAGACAGACGGACTGGTCTGACCGGAGCCACTGTTGTTGACGTCTGGGAAGACGAAGAGTTGTCTGTGCTTGGCGCTGACTGACGGGGAGAGGGAGGGTGAGCGCTCGGGGGTGGGCACCTGCAACACCTGCATGGAACGGGACGTGCGCGGGGACGTGTCTCCGGGACTCACCGTCGTGGTCATCGGGCTCTCCGGCGCGCGGTGGTCGCTCACGGTCGCCTGGGACAGTTTCTGCACGATCTGGACCGTCGGGGAGAGGTTGTCGGGTGTGTGGGAGATCCAAGGCGCTGTCTGCTCCGCCTCGGATAGCAGCTCCGACATTTGGATCTCCGGCAGGGCCGTGTGCAGGCCCGAGTGACCGCTAGTGGACATGGCGGCCGAGAGAGAGCCCAGAGAGCCGAGAGAGGTGTGTGTACGGCCCGTGCGGTCCCCAGGGCGAGGTGAGGCCCTGGTGGAAGAGCCCGGGGTGGTGGTTGGGGAGGGGTCAGGGCTCGGGAAGTCCGGCGTGATGCTGCTGGACGTCCGGTAGGTCATAGGTCGCTCCGGGCTGTGGGCGTGGCTGATGGTGGGCGTGTCCTGGGCTGACCACGTGGTGCTGGTCACCAGGGAGGGGGAGCTCGGGTACTTGGCCATTAGCCCGGACTCGCTGTCTCTGGGGAACCCGCTGGTGGGCGGATACGGAATTTGGTGTTTTTGTTGTTGTTGTTGCTGCTGAAGAAGTTGGTGGTGATACTGCTGCATCATCTGCTGCTGGTGCAGGCGGTGCGCTTCTGTGGGTAGTTCTCCTCCTGAGAAGTGTCTGGGTCGGACGATCATGGCAGGCTGGGCCATTCCGTGGAACTCCTGGCTCGTCTGCTCTGATCGAGCACCGTGCTGCGACATTGGAGGGAACTGGCTGTAAGGGTGTGGGTGGGACAAGAGCGCGCTGTGCTGCACGGAGGCCGGGTGTTTGAACACGGGGTGGGGCTCCATGGCCGAGGAGGTAGCGGCGAGATGTCGGTGCGGCAGTTGTTCTTCCCCTCTACTGTCCGCGCGACCCACGGGTGGAGCCACGAACCTGCTTTGCGAGGCCACTGACACATCTTCCTCGGACACCTTGAGCAGACCCGGCGCGTGGTCCTGGTCGGGCGTGGACGCGTGCAGGCGGCCGCCGGCGGCAGACATATACAGCACCGCCTGCCGCCCCGCCGCGAGTGGTGTTGCCGCCGCTTTCTCAGGGAGCTGAGCTTGCTGGTAGTCTGAGGAGGAGGCCGAGTGCGTGTGCGCACGGTGCGAGTGGGTCATGCAAGCCGTATGGGCACCGGGCACAGTGGCGCTACGTCTGTCGTTACTCCCTGAGTGCTCACTCGTGCACGGCTTGGTCTTATCTAAGTCAACAGCTACTACTGTGTCCTTTGAGTCGATCCTCTCGCTTTCAAAGCTAAGAAGTGACGAGTCCGAACTGCTGGACTCTGCGCACGTCAAAATCAAAGAACTGTCTACACAGCTAACGTCGAAGTAGTGAGCGCGAGACGACTCGGATACACGGATATTTCTTAAAACATTGACACTTTCCACAGACCATTTCTGAGAAGTCGGCGTGCAGATCTTACTGCTGCTGTTGCTATCCCTAACTTTCTCACAGCTCGCGGGTTCTCCAGAGATGCAGAGTGTGAGTGGTATGGGCGGTGTGAGCGGTGGTAGGGGCGGCGGGAAGGTGGTGTGCACGGCTCTCTGCAGCCCTTCGTGCGTCGCGACCAGGCCAGAGAGCTGAGGCTGACCTACGTCTCTCATGAACACGACTGGTCAATCCGACTGGTCAGTCACCTGGTCCTTGCAGACTTCTGTGACGTCAGCTATCCCGTTAGAAGGTCACGTGGACAGTGCAGACTCCTGTGATGACGTCAGCTGCTCCACCAGGAGAAGTAGGACCAGCCACGACTGAGTTTACTGAGAGCAGTGATGTACAGCTACGGGGAACTATCCCCGGTCACTTGACCCTCACCCGGAGCTAACCTCCAGCAGTCTCTGCTCGTCAGAACACACAGCACCAACGCCAGATGCGTCCCCACCCACTCAACATCTCCCACACTCTGACTTCTCAGCCGGCCGGCACTCCAGATAAAACACTCCTACACTCGTAAATACACACAAAAATGTGTCTTAATCCACACAAAAAAACCCAACAAAACAAACCACCAATGCTGTTCCGGCACTGAGGATAAGCAGTAAACTAGTCCTACTCCACTGTGTCACCTTTGCGAACTAGCTCCTACTCGAGGCACACACAGAGAGGCGGCTGGAGGGAGGCACTCACTCCCCCACCGACTTGTCAATGAAGAGCAAGGAGGAGGAGGTCAAAGTTCGGTAATCTCTGGCAGCCCAACGCCTCGGCGCGTTCTGACCTGTGATTAAGTCCTACACGTCAGCTCGTTGTCTCAGTTCATTCTCAATGAACAACACAAGTGTTATATCTCATTACTTCAGACACGGATGCTTAATTTTTTATTTTTTTAAAAATAGCCTGGTAGCTGGCTCCGGAAACGTACTGGGTGTTGGCGATAAGGAAAAAAAGAAAAAACAACAAAAACCAACACTTGTTAGTGGCCTCAGCAGTTCTTATGTAAACAAACTATCCAAGATTACACAACAGAAGCAAGCGAAGAGGTTGTTGATTCTTGAAAACGTTGACAGGCTTGGACTCACTCCAGATGCCCGATATATTTCGTTTCCTCAACAGTTTTCCACTCGCTGGACGCAGTAGCTGGTCTGAGGTCTGTGGTCCAGATTTTCCCTGTCGCTCGTCTTTTGTGAGGAGCAGGCGAATGGGTGAGCGAATGAGTCTCCCTTCTATCTACTTCTCTCGATCTCTCACTCTCTCCCGGTGATCCAAAATCTCGACTTTTGTAGATCGAGACGAAGAGGGGGAGGCGGAGGAGGAGGAGGAGGAGGATGTCAGAGCGCAAACAGAACGCAAGTGACAGAGAGCGAAGGGTAATTCCCCAGCTTCTGGTACTGGTGCCCCCTCTCTCTCTGTCTCTCCGGGTGTCTCTCAGTTTCTCTGTGTCGTTCAGTTTGTCTCTCTCTCTCTCTCTCTCTCTCTCTCTCT